CCCCCCCCAAATAACAGCAGTACTGGGTTAGTTTATTTATTCATTGCCACAAAGTGCCTGACAGGAGAGCCAGGAAGGAGGGAAGATTTATTCTCATTCACTGATACAGGAGACACAGGCCATCCTGCAGGGATGAAGTTGGTAGCAAGGCTCTGTGGTGACAGGAGCTCAAGGGAAGGTACAGCTGAGTGACAGCTCCAAGTCCAGAAATATTGCCTATACTGTAAGCTATACTATGTGATTAAAAACACAAAGTGTCTCATGTTGTGGTGTAGCGGGGAATGCTGAAACCACCAGGGTTGGGTTTAGCCTCCACAGGCCCTTTCCCAGGTACTCCACCCTGCCAGGGATGCCTTACATCTCAAGAGTTCCATAATGTCCCCAAACAGTGCCACCAGGAGCCCAAGTGTACGGATCCATTGCACCTTCAAGCCATGAGAGGTGCCACGGCTGAGGTGTCTTTGGGGGCCTCCCTGGTCAAGGGTGTTTGTTGTACGCACACAGCCCGCAGTTGATGAGTGCTGTTCCATGAGTCTGGCCTTGGGATATTTGGTAGCCATGTTCTCAGATCTGAAGAGACTGAAGACCAGAAAAGGCAGAATTTGAAGTGGCTGAGCTCAGTGTGCATATAGAACTGGTGTTTTGATACAAGAAATGGTATGTTTGTCTGTGTGAGAGCATGGATCCCTTGGAATTGGAGTAACAGACACTTGTGAGCTGCCATGTGGGTGCTGGGAATTGAAACCGGGCCCAGGTCCTCTGAAAGAGCAGTCAGTGCTCCCCAACCGTGTCTTGAAACTCCCCTCCCAAAAGAAAAGAAAAAGAAACAGTTATCTGCAGAAGTTGGCTTTCTGTGATGCAAAGCCTCTGAGCTGGCTTGTTCACACAGCCCACCCACAGGTTCCAGGAGAAAACAACCTGTTCCTCACTGGGGAGGGAGCCTGACAAAGTGGTCGCTGTTTTCTTCCCTGATCCACAAGTGCTTAGCAGCAGCGCCCAGCATGCAGCAAGCGTGTAGCCAATGGTAGCCATGTCAGTGCTGTTATTTCACCTGTGGCAAGCAGTGAGTGAGCAAGCCCTGGTACTTACACATCTCTGTCTGGAAATTCTTCCCAGACAGATGGGTGGGTAGAAGGACATGCTGTCCTGCTCTTTATTCAGGTGTTGGCTCAAATTAGAGCCCATCAGCAAGGGGGTCCGGCAGCCTGATGTGGTAACCCATGTCATGGCCACAGCATCATCAGCACCCTCACCCACTCTGGCCTACATACAGTGTATGCTCGCCTGTTGCATAGTAGGTGCTTCACGCACATATTTTGCATTAATGAAATAAATGAGCAAAACAGTGTGGAACTGGTTTTATGAAAGGCACGTGATAGCATTTTAGGACAGAATACTTACACCCCTAAGACTGTGACCCTTTAATGCAGTTCCTCATGTTGTGGTGACCCCAACTGTAAAATTATTTTGTTACTACTTCATAACTATAATTTTGCTACTGTTATGAGTTATAATGTAAATATCTGATATGTGACCCTGTGAAAGGATCATTTAATCCCCAAATGGATCACAGCCCGTGGATTGAGAACCACTGCTCTATAATGTTTTGTTGTTGTTGTTGTTGTTGTTTGGTTTTTGGTTTTTCAAGACGGGGTTTCTCTGTATTGCTTTGGAGCCTGTCCTGAAACTAGCTCTATAGACCAGGCTGCACAGATCCAGAAAGAAAATCTTCTTTGCCTCCATCCAAGCTGAAACTATACTATGTGGGTAAAAATTTAAGGGTGGGGATACTGGAATGTGTATTTTTTTGGAAAAGGTTTGGGGGATCTGAATCACTGTCAACACAATCTTGTGTCACTATCTTGTTTGTCCATAAACTGGGACAAAAAGGGCATTACTCTGGGGTAGAAATGTCATCCTCGAACTGAGTTGGGATTCAGCAGAGACCACAGAACAAATAGCCAGTGATTTCTACCTGATTCCTACAGTCCAAATTGGTATTAATTCTATTGACTGTTTCACAGGACAGTCCAGTTTAAGATTAAATTTTATGCTAGTCTATGTTTGAGATAGGTTTTGGTTTGGTTTGTGTTTGCCTTTTTAGTGGAACTTTTAAATCTGCTTTGATACTGTCTTGGTATAATGAAGGCTTAATCCGTTTGCTGTTCAGGGGGTTTGGATTTGTCACCCTTGTGTTAAGTGGAGCAGTGCACTTGTTTTAACTGGCTGTCATTAAATCTGCCACAGTAATCTTTTTGGTTTTTCGAGACAGGGTTTCTCTGTAGCTTTGCAGTCTGTCCTGAAACTAGCTCTGTAGACCAGGCTGGACTTGAACTCACAGAGATCTGCCTGCTTCTGCCTCCCAAGTGCTGAGATTAAAGGCATGCACCACCAAAGCCTGGCAACTGCAGTAATCTTTGTCCAGACTTTTGTACTGTGTCTGAACTGTAAACCAAAAACTGTACCCAAACAAAACTATTAATGTATTTAAATGAAGTTGGAGCCATCCTGAACCTCAGAAGATCACACCCCACAGCTTAACTTATAAATTCTAAAAAGTAGATCAATAGAAATACCCTGCTTTAATTGATTCAGTTTAAAAATGGAAGTGCATAGGTGTGGTGATATCTATCTCACTTCCTGTCTGTCTATACAAACCTCCAGACCTCTATGGTTAACTAGTGGCAATCTCCATTCTCTGACCTTCAGACAGGCATTATTTGTACAAGCAAGATATCACCACATACAGGACTATCTCAATATGGAGTGCAGATTTAAATGTGAGGAATTAAGAGTGGGATTCATATCACTTAAGGGTTTGATTTAAGTAGGATATATTTAATTATAGCTTATAATTTATGTAATAAAGAGAGGCCTAAATGTTGAAATAGTCTGATAGGGGAAACATTTGCTATGGAATTGAGCAATGTAATAAAGAGTCACTCTAGAACTGCCTTTCTCAATTGGTATGATATGCCTAAGAATGTTGTTCTCCAGGGCCTTGATAGCAATCTTTGGGGAAAGAAGTGTCCTGTGCTCAGTGAGTATGTAAAATGTCAGAGTTAAGGAATTTCCCTTCACAATTTCTCAGAGCCTTTAACACTTTGAGCTTTTTGGAGAGGGTGTAAGTGTCAGGGTGGGGCTCTCAGTCTGCAAATTCCACCCATTCTAGGGGTGGAATTTTATTAGATCAGTGTTTCTGAGACAACCTCCCTGTGTAGCCCTAGGTAGATTGACCTCAATGTGCAGCCATCTATCTCCTGCTTCTGCAGGCCAGGATTGCAAGTGTGCACCACCACACCTGGCTCATGTTTAGCTCTGTGAGACAGGATCTTACTGTGTGAATATAGAACTGGATGGGAATGTACAGTAGCCCAGGATGGCCTTGAACTTGAAATTCTCATGCTTTAGTGCTGAGGTGCCCAGCATGTACCCAGCTTTGAAAATGGGCAAACATTTTCAGCAGTAGCAATGAGGGGTCATTCTCTGATGTGGGTCAGTTCTTAGGATGTTGCCCCAGCATGCTCCAGGAGTAGGATAGATTCCAGCACTATGCTAATGAGATGGTGGTCTCCACACAGCAGGATGTTGTCACGAGTAGAAATGCCACTGTCCCTTGGACTCTGCATATATCTCCAACCCCAGGTGTGATTCACATGTAGCCACATTGACTTTAAGAAGAGAGCACCTTCTAGATGAGTGACTGCATTTGGGGTGTGGTTCTTGGAACTCAGGGACTGAGCATCCACTCTGAAGAGGCCCTGGCCTCTAGAGGTGTGCCAGAAACCAAGGGGAAGCAATCACCCTTTAACTTTAAGAAGACAGAATGTCTGAGATACCACATACAAGATTCACCACCAACTTTAGTTTTGAATCATTCTCTTGAAGACTGCATTGTATTTGTGTTTTTAGAAAATCATTAGATCATATTTCCCCCTGTTACCATCTGTGAATGTAGTCTCTCATGCTGAGAACAGATGAGCTTTAAGGAGCAGATAGCTAGGTCAGGATTCTGCCTTGGAAATCAGTGTCATATTCCTGGACCTGGTTTCTTGCATCCCACAAATACAGCTATACAGGAATAATGTAAATACCAATGACACGAGAGACAGCAAGTCCTAGCACACTGCGGTTGAATGTCGTCCTGCTAGCAGCAACATAGGAAGCACTTGAGAACAGGAAAATCGCACCAGTGCCAGGAGGCAGAGCAGAGCGCACAAACGAAGGGTGGGCTTGCTAAAGACCAGAGATGAAAGTTTCATTACTTCCAAGCGAAGTCACACACTTCAAAACTTTGGGGGGCGGGGACAACTTAATGTTTAGTAAACCGACAAAATGCAAGAGAGACGTTTCTAAGACCCCAATAGTTCTTTGCATGCATACATGGTTTGGTAATACAGCATTCCTATTGCCTTATATTCTTTGATCAATGAACTATTGCATTAAATTTCCATCAACTAGTTTGAGAACCGGGAGAAAGGACATAAAAACTAAGAAGGGTTTAATAACCATGGGGAATGCCATGGAGAAATCCTTTACAGTAGTTCTTACAGCTCCCCTGGTGGTCCAGCAGTCAGGGCTCCTTTCATAGAGCCAGCTGGTGAGATGAAGGTCACCAGCTATTAATCAGGAATGTGATAGAAGCCAGTGAGTCATCTGTGTGCCGTAGTCCTGGAAGAGGCTTCTGTTGGTGCTGTTCTTATAGTTCACTCCACAATCCTGTCATCTCCCTTGAGGGACTGGTAACTCCTCAGTCAGGATCCATCACCTTGAGCCTGTGGTCCCTGGCCATCTGTGAATGTCCAGGCTCTTGCTTTGTCTATTAACTCCTGTCTAAGAATGGAGTGTGAAGACAGTTGTTAAAGGGGCAGGATATGTCTGCCTTCTCGTGTCCTGAGGACAGCGAGCTTCACTTGAAATGCACCTTCCCTGTGCCTGTTGTATAGTTGTGTGCCACTGGCCTGCCACTGCTCTGACCAGACTGTCCCCTTTCTCCACAGGTCTCCCCGTGAACTTTGTACAGCTATGAAACCTACATAGTGGGGTGCCACGATGCTTCTCCTGTTGGCCATATGAGGATGAGGAGAAGTTGGCTTTGGAGTGCTGGGAGCCTGAGCAATTGCTAAGCGCTTGGTGTGCCCAGCCTGCCCACTGGAGAGCCCACAACACAATGAACAAACTGACCTTCCATAACAACAGAGTCATGCAGGACCGTCGCAGCGTGTGCATTTTCCTTCCCAATGATGAGTCCCTGAACATCATCATAAATGTGAGTGGGTCCACTAGAGGACTGTTTCAGTGTGCTGGTCCCTGCCAGGCTATGCCCGTGTGAGGTGGTGTAGGGTGGAATCATTAGAGAATGAGCCAGAGATAATGTGGCAGCCGTACACTTAGGCTTCCGAACAGTTGTAAACAGCATTGTGGCTTCAGCACAGCTACCTTCAGTAGGGTCTTAACTTGGGGTAAAATTAGGAATGTGGGTACTACACTAAAAAACAAAAGTTTCTGTTTTTAAACTTCACTGAACGATTTTTCAATTGAATTAATTTATTGGGTTTCTCTGTCTCCTTAACTGTCTGTATGTGTTCAGCCCTTATGTTTGGGATCATTTGGAATGCTCTCCACACTTCCACTCAGGTCTAGGGACTTCTGATACTGCTGGGCAACAGTACCCCTCAGATCCCATCAGCAGACCTGGTTTCTTCTTTGAATTCCTCTGCTCTTATTGGAAAGGGTTCATTCTGATATTTCTACATACGGAAGCCTCTTTCTTAACTAAAACTCAGTGTAACAAGACGGGAACCAAAGACTATAGATGAAGGAAGGAAACCCAGATCTGAACATTTTTTTTGAGCCTTGGTTATTGTCTGTCCATTTGTATTTTAAATGCTCAGAGTTGTCACCCATGTACATAAAATGGTAGCCATTGCTAAGTCTCTCACATATATCTTGACTGTTTGGTTAGTCAGCGTAGGCAATGTCCATGGCGAGCTGAAGGGCTGTGGTAAGCTGAGATGTTGCCTCTGGCTCTTAAGTCAGAATCAGATACTTAGTTAACCAGGACATTAAGGGCTGGGATACTGTTTTTAGTTTTTTTCTTTTTAAGTTTTTTTTTTGGGGGGGGGGTGTTGAGACAGGGTTTCTCTGTGGCTTTGGAGGCTGTCCTGGAACTAGTTTTTGTAGACCAGGCTGGTCTCAAACTCAGAGATTCACCTCTGCCTCCTGAGTGCTGGGATTAAAGGCGTGCGCCACCACTACCTGGCTAGTTTTTTCCTTTTAATTTTTAATAGTTAAATTATAATTTATACATTGTAAAGCATAGAACTCTTTATAAATGTGCAGCCCAGTGCATATACTGTTGTATATGCATGCTTGTGTAGCCATTGACCAGCTGAAGATACTAATTTCCATCTCCTCAGAATGACCCTTTGTGATACTTCCTTGTCAGTAATTCATTGTCTTTAGCTCCTGCCATCCAGACTGTGATCATTCTTCTTGTCTCAGATGCTTTTCATTCAACATTTGGCCCATGAAATTGACACAGCAGTAATTGTTTTGTTTTCATTAGAAGATAATATTTCACCAGTGTGGTCATGCCCCATTTAGTTATGCATTCACTGTTGTTGATGGATAGTGTGTCATTTGAAATCCATACAAATGATAATAAAACTGCTATGAGCATTTGGATGGGGGATAGACCTACAAACACAGACACACATTATCAGAGTAGATATATAAATCATGGAACACCTCAGTGAGTACCCTTGGTGGAAACTGCCAGGTAATCAGTTTGGTCCTATCAATCCTTTTTCAATCTTTTCTTCCTTTTTTTCTTTTTTTTTTTTTTTTTTTTTTTTTTTTTTCTTTTTGAGACAGGGCTTCACAAAGTAGGCCAGGTTGACCTGGATCTCACAGAAATCTGCCTACCTCTGCCTTCCAAGTGCTAAGACCAAAGGCATGGGCCACAACACCTAGACTGGTCAAGTTGCGTATTGTTTCTTTAACTGAACTGCATTCTAATGGAACTAAGGAAAACTTGTTTCATTTGTTACCCTTTGGATTGGTTTTCTACTTGTATGTTAGTATATTTTAAATAATTTTAAATAATTTCTGTCTAATGGAATAGTTGTGCAGAACAGATAAGACATTTAAATAACCTCATTAGATTGCAGCAAGGTTCTGCTTGTAACCATAGACATCTTGGTTTTATTCGAGCAGCCAACAATTTCTTGATTTACTTATGTCACCTGGTTTCTTCTCGTATGCATTTTGGGAGCATCACACCTGCCTCCCAAGTGGGTTTTACTGTCTTCCCGGGCAGTGTCTAGTGATGGGTTATGTTCCTGATTAGGAGCTTGAAATTGGTTTTGGTCGCGCAGAGTGACAGCACTTGAATTTTAAAATACAATGAAAGTTCAGCAACATAAATTGAAATGAAAGTAGAATTCTACTATATCTGTGGATCTGTGTGACATCTCATTCATTCACATATATAAAATGTGTCCTTCAAATTTTTTAAGCTCATGCAGTTCAGGACACATAGCATAAGCATCGAGGAAACTCCTTCTGCCCTTTTTCTGTCATTTTTCTCAGTGAAGTGTGTATACATGTTGACAGTGTATGGCATGTACAGGATGAGGAAAGTCATAACAGATCTGTCATCATGCGGACTAAGAGGTAGCTACAGTTTCTAAAGCAATTCCTTGGTGCTGGAGTCTCAACTGAGGGAAGTCATTTTGGAGAACAGCCGGAAAGACTCCAGGCGGGTTCATGGCATGTTTTATGGTGTCATTCCTAGCATTTTTAAAATGTTCTTCCTACTGTCAACCTTCATATTTTTTCTTTCTCCTAATTGAAGTCTTATATAATTAAGCAAAAGAAGTGCCTTAATATGGTGCTGTGGGTTAGCTTTCCCACATATATGCTGCTATGTAGGTCAGTGGCTTTAAAACTTTGCTGTCTACTGGAATTATTGGGGGGAGGGGCTTGGTGAATGAATGCTCAGCTCTTTGAGCTTCACCCATGGAGACACTGATGTAGGTCTAGGGCAGGACACAGGAATTTTGATTTAGCAAAATTCCTCAGCAGGGACTACAGAGGGATGAATGAAATCCTGAGGCAGACAGGAGAGCCTGTGGCCCAGCCCCATTCTCGAGAGCCCCGGCTCACTTACTGGTCTTTGGGCCTGTGGCTGAGGCTGTTGACATTGGGGACCTGGTCTGCACTGTCTACTCTGTGACTGACTTTCTTTGCAGCCTTGGGCATGCTTCCTAAGCCTGCTGTTCATTGCTTGGTTTGTTTCCCTCATATATGTGAAGAGGGGCTGTTCAACGCCTCATGCAGAAACATGGCAAAGATTTAAAAACACTCCATGCGCGAAGCCCTCTGTGATGTCTGTCCTCAGAGTGGCTCGATTAGTTGGTCTTTATGGAGTGGTGTTTCTGTTGTCTAGTTCCTTCTGCTGTTTGTTGGTTTCATTACCACTGCAAGCACAATGGACAGTCTGGGCACCATGCAAGCCCAAAAAATTTCTCACTCTGGAGAACACAGGTCTTCTGCCACGCCCAGGTTCCTCTCCAGCAAGCCTGGGACTCAGGAAGGATGGGGTTAAGTCGCCTAGAGGCTTGCCCACTGATAGAAAAACAATCCAGAGCTGCCCAGAACCCTCTTTCCCCACAACTGAGAAGGGTAATGTTGATGTTGGCAGAGTTGGGGGTAGTGAATTAATTGTAACAGAAAATGTTTATTGGTGGCCTTCCCCCTCCCCGGGCAGTGGGGAATGTGGCTCACATATACTGTTCTTGTTCTTTTTTTAGGGAGTTCCTTCCTTACCCCATGCAGGTATAGTTGATTTCATATTGGCTTTCTGCATGTGGAATCAATTTTATGTTTTAGTCTTTTTGAATCACCATGAATTGTATTAGTAGGAGCTATTTTTAATTGATCTTAATCATCAAACATATATAAATTATGGAAACCTAAAACATAAAATTATGGTGGCTATAAAAAGCAAAAAGGTTTTAGAGTGTCAGAAATCACAGAGCCAAGAGCTTGCACCTCCCTCCCGTGACAAAGCGAACAGTTCTTTCTTTCCAGGGAGTATTTCAAACATCCTTGCACAGTAACAAACCATTGGCACAGCAAGGATCAAACCCCCTTCCACTTCAAAGTTCCACACAGTGGGTATTTTTAGATAAAGCCCACGCTGTTGAGAACGTAGTGTTTTCTAAAGTTCCCATTACCCCTGAAGATGAGAGGAATAAGAAATTTCACAATCAGCCATGTGGCTTTAAAGACTCTACTCTGCAAATACCCAACGCTGGAGATTGTTTTCACAGCAGGTAAGACTTTCAGGCCACATCCTTATTTAATTATAGTTTTTAAACAAGAACACTATACTTACTTGATGATTGTTAAAGAGCTTTAGCAGAAGGCTCCAGATACTTGATTTAAGTAGCGGAACAGTAATAATTAGCTGGGATGCCTGGAAGAGAGGCACGGCCTTGTTTAGTCAAGAGTCACCACATATTTTATTGTATAAACGTCTAGTTTGGAATTTGGAATCCAGCCCCTTGCATTTCATCCTGGCTTCTCCATATTCTACCAAGCCAACTACAGATTAAACACAGTCAAGCTAAGGGTTAAAAGTGCCCCAGAACAATGTGATGGTTTAAGTCTCAAGTTTATGGAACGTAGCTCAATGTAAGAGTGGTCTGAGAATGTGATCCTTTCTCCTCTTGGCCATCAGTCTGTTTAAGCTTATTGGTAACAGTATAGTTATGGCATGAAATACAAACCCAGTGTTTACAGTGAGTGTTGGAAATAAATAGAACTTCTCTAGGACACATATCTAGTACCCCAAGCTGTTGGATCAAAGTAGCACAGAGAGGGGCCTGGAGGTAGTGATTTCCCAGCGCCCAGTGGGTCTTCCCAGTGTCGAGACAAGTTTGTATCAATTCATTGTTATGGAGTTGCTGGATGACAGGACTGGAGAGGTGGCTCAGCAGCTAGATGCACTGGCTGCTCTTCAGATCCCACAGGAGAGAGCTCATCAGGCCCGAGGATCCATCCGGTGCTCTTTTCTGGCCTCTGAGGGCAAGTGACACACAGACATACATTCAGACACCCATACACATAACATAAACGTTTACAGTATTGCTGGAAGGCACATATGAACTAGACTGTCCTCCAAGGTAACTGAGGGAGAGGTCTCTAGTAGAGGTTCTCGAACCTCACTGGGAATCAGATCCTGAACATAAACTGACACTGCCTGTTACAGTTCATCTTCGTCACTGTGACGGGATCTAGAGTCACTCAAGAAACTTTGAAACATGCCTATGAGGGATTATCTAGATTAGGTTAATTGACGCAGGAAGACACATCCTAAATGTGGGTGACCATTTCATGGACTGGGATCCCAGACTGAGTAAAACTGTCAAAGTGAGCAGTAGCATTCATTTCTCAGCAGACTGTGGATGCCAGGTGACCCTGCCTCAAGCTCCTGCACGCCACCCTTCCCCCACCTCCATCCACCCCTTTCCCACAACGGTGGAATGTATCTCCTTATACTATAAGCCAGAATGAGCCCTTCCTTCTTAATTGCTTCTTGTCAAGTATTTTGTCACAGCATCAAGAAGTAACTAATAGCCACCACAGCGTTCTTCAATTCCTGCTGCTGGGAAGAACTAAACAGGTCTCTCTGGCCTTCAGTGTCTTCTGCCCTTTCCAATGGGACTTTGCATGTTTTCATTTTCTTAATTTTAGTTAGTACTGCATAAAAACATGATAAAATTTAACTCGCAGTTAAGTATATTATAATCACTAAAATTACAATTGGTGCCATCATTGACTGCGTGCAGACAAAAATGACAAAGGTTGTGTTGCATGTTTTAACCTGTATGTAACTTTTCATACATGTAAGTTTTAAAGGTGTGCCTTTATCACTACTCGCTTACATACTGGGGCGGTTTTGTTCTCTGCTTCCATGAGCTGAAGTGATGGGCGGGTGAGGCAGGCTCTCAAGACTTACTTTACTCCCACCTGACATTTTGGTCATAATCGAGAAAGCATCAAAACTGTATCTGGGAGCTGGGGATTTGGCTCAAAGGGTAAAAGTGCTTGTGTGCAAACTTGAGGACCTGAGTTCAAGTCCCCAGAACCCATTAAGAGCCCAACATGGTGGCACAGTGTTTCTACAGGGAGGTGGAGAGGTAAGGACTAACGCCAAGGTTGTCCACTCTCATATATGCACACTTCACAAATACAAAATACAAATGCATGCACACACACACACACACACACACACACACACACACACACACACACACAGAGCAAGTGATGTCTTCTCAATAGGAGCTCATCTCCAGAATGTTAGTATGACTGAATTATACTGAGACTCCGAAAGGGAAGAATAAGAAATAGCAGTGAATGACCGATTAAAATGAATAAAACCTGAGTAGTCTGTCATTGTGCAGTAGATGAGTATTTGGCTTAGACCTTTAAGAAGAAAACTTACCTTGAACTAAGATGCCCTAAGAGAACATTTCACGTGAGAACATACACAAATAGCTGATGGAAATCCACAGCACGGTGCTCAGCCACAGTAAGCATCAAGAAAACAGAAATTGAAACAACAGCACGTGCTGCCTTACAGCTGTTAACATGGCTGTCACTAAACAGAAAAGTTGACCAGAGTCCCAAGGAACCCTTGTCATCTGTGACCAGGATGTACAGCAGTGTGGCCCATATGGCAAACAGCATGCAACTCCTCAAAACGTTAACTATAGCATGAGTGTGTGATCTCAGGTCCACTCCTGGGTATCCAGAGGAAATGAAGTCACTGTGGCGGACGAGCACCTGTGCTCTCACAGCCTTGTTCATAGCAGTGAGCGGTGCCCACTGATGCTGAAGAGACAAAGTGTGATGTGTCCACACATGCTGGGGTAATAAGCCACACCACAGGGAAAGCTTGACATTTTGCAACACTATAGGTAAATCTGGAGAGCATTATACTAAAGGTTATAAGCTGGGAACAGACTACATGGTCTCATTTGTGTGGGATCCAAAAAAGGCTACCCCATAGGAGCAGAGTGCCGGGTAGTTAGTTACCCGGGGCTTGAAGTAAGCAGGGCAGGAAGACACTGGCCAAAGGATTCAAACTTTCAGCTGCAGGAAGAATAAATTCAGGAAACCTATGTAGAACAGCAACTATAACTAGTCACGTTACGGTTACTGGATGCCTGAACTTACTGCTGCTTTAGAGTAGATCTTAAGTGTTCTTACCACACACAGAAAAATAGTGTGTATGTGAGGCAATGCATTGGTTAATCCATTCTATAGGGTATACATATGCCAAAACATTGAACACTATCTAAAAACATATCCAATAAGGTAAGAAAAACATACTTTCCATATAAATACCTTTTCTTCTAAGGGACCTTCTGAAAAGGGCCCATTTTTCATGCAGGATCTGAGAACCTGATCGGTGTGTCCTATGATTTATGAATCATTTGTAAGATTGCATTGGTACTCTAATAGCATGTTATAAATATTGATAGTGAGATAATCAATGAAACAAAGGCACAGGTTGAAGTGATAAGCCAGTGGTGGTTTACTGATGGGAGCATGTCCTGAGAAGGTGCATATCTACAAAGTTGTAAAGTTGGCAATTATGGATCACTATGTAGACTGAATTTAATTATCTCAAGATTTATTTTTTTTTCCCCTCCTACAGGTTAAAATTCTGTGTCACCAGTTGCTGGTCCAGGTGTGTGACCTGCTCAGGCTAAAGGATTGTCACCTGTTTGGTCTCAGTGTTATACAAAGTAAGTTTCAGTCTGTTCTCTGGTATGTTCAACCAAGGAACACCCGAGCAAATGACACTTTAAAGCCTGAAGCCATCGTGCTGTGTAAACTGATTGTCAAGTGCCCATCAACTAATCTTCATTCATAGTCTAGTATTTATTTTCCAATATAGACATGATGTATTTTATATGATTTAGGATTTTTATTATATTTACTGCAGTTTGAACTTAAATTGATAACTTTTTAGGAATTTAGATATTTATGAATCACTTCCCTTTTTGTTTTGTTTTAATGAATCAAGTTTGATTTTTGTTTTGTTATGTTTTCATGTACACAGAAACCAGCTGTAGCTGGGAGGAAAGTGATGTTTTGTCATTTATCATTATGATCTATAATACTATAAGTGATAATGGCTTACAACATTACAACAACTTTGCACATAGTAAAGCTGCCTTTCTTCTGTTTAGATTCTCTTGTGGTTTAGCAGTATTACAGTGATGTTATTAATTGAATTTTATTTTCTGTTTTTCTTCTTGCACTTCTCTTTTGTACTAGTCAGGCTGTGTGACTTTGGAATGCAGTCATTTTGTTCATTATATGAGAAATTTGCAAGGAAGGATGTCAGATGTGTTGCCATCTCATGTCCCTTACTTAACACTGAACTCTTAGAACCACCTGCATCCATTTGATAAAAGCTATCTTGCTTCAATTTGTATCTGGAAATTTCTCTGCATTTGTTTTCTGAATCCCAGAGTCTTTTAACATCTCTACTCCTCTTTTTCAAGGAGATTTACTTGTATTTCAGTATGCTTCCTATGTTTATGTGGCTGATCTTTTACTTGAATGGGTTTAAACCTAAAGGATTATGATAGTTTGAAAGTCTGGTTTGTGCTGTGAATGTTTACATCTGCCAAGTTAGAAAATGTCTTATGGCCAACAGATAAAGCTCCCTTTCCTCCAAAATGGGAACTATGTTCAATTGTCTAAGAACATGGCATAGAGAATACAGAGGGCCCTGCAGATCAGCCATTTTCTCCCTGCTTTGTTTCTGTAGTGGTCAGTGCAATGAAAACTGCATCTGTACAGACCTCCATCATCTTTCAAGGAAGGGTCTAACCAGTTGTTCCCAACCCTCCTGTGTTGTGACCCTTTGATATAGTTCCTCATGGTGCAGTGACCCCCAACCATAAAAGTATTTGGTTGCTACTTCATAACTGTAATTTTGCTACTGTTATGAATTGTAAACATCTGTGTTTTCTGATGGTCTTAGGTGACCCCTGTGAAAGGGGTTGCTACCCACAGGTTAGTTAAGAACCACTGATCTAGAAGCAGTAAGATGCCTTACAGACTCCAAGTGGCTCTTGCTGTGATCTCAAAAGCTAATTCTTCCTTTGCACCTGCAGCCAGACTGTTGATCCCTGTGGTTCAACAGGTCAGTCCAAGAAAACCAGTTCATAGCTCCCTTCAGTTTGCAAGCAGAGCTTTGAGGTGCTCTGTGAAAGAGTTTTGGAACAGCAGTTGGGTGGCCTAGTTCCCGTTCTGGTTCTGCTGCTGACTAGCAGTGAACACTCAGACACACCACCAGACTTCTCAGGTTGTTTCCTGTCAGATAGAAACTGCTGTCCACACCAGCTCTGCAGGACAGATGGGTGCTTGAGAGTTTGTCTCACAGGTTTTGTTTTGTTGGTGTGCTTTTGGAGTCCCAGCACTGTTGAGCAGGAAGTATGGAGAGTTCCAGAAAGCCATGCACATGCAGGCACAGCTTCCCCACTGTCAGCTCCAACGCGGGTGGAACCCGTGTGGCAATCAGTGTGCCTGTGCAGATACCTTATCACCCAGGGCTCTCCTCTGGTGTTGGTATCCCACAGATACCAACAGATGTATGGCATGTGTCCATCATCCGTGTGTGCAGGATGGCATTACTGTCCTGAAGCCACTCACACCGTTTTAGATTCTCAACTCAAATTTCTCTTGTCAATTGAATGGTTGGAAAGACTAATCCTCACGTGCTTCAAAGATGGGCATTTTAAAATCCAGCCATTCTGACACTCTTCTCAAAAACCATCTAAAACACCAGGAATCTTAATGTCATCCAAATTCTGCAACTTTTGTTTTAAAATGATTTTGAACTTCCGGCCATGTAAGAAGATAATAAAGATTTCCTCAAGTGTTAATGCCAGAGAACATCTGATCTACCTGCCTGGTTCCTGTCTCTCCAAACGTGAGGGAAATTTCTTAGAGACAAGCAACATCTCTGACATAACCATGGGGGGAGGGGGGCTTCTTTGTCAAGGAGTCAGCACTGTAATGCTAAGTAGTCTTTAGTTCTGCCAAGAGCCTGGAAATGCCCATCATAGTCAAGATGGCTCAGGGCTCTTCAGCCACTCTGTTGCCCCTCCTTGGGATCTTTGCTTTTTTTTTTTTTAAATCAAGTTTGTGAAATAGCTTTTAATTTGGATTTGGTTTGTGTTTCCTCATTAATTCAGGTTATGTGTGATTTGGGTGGGGTTATCAGATAGATAATAATGAACCCTTTTCAGATACAGTATCATGAGATGCAAAATAGTTATTTATGCCTTTATGGTGATGTTAGCTTTTGGCAAAAGGTTCTCCAAATATGTTCCTTGATATTTATGAGCTCATATTAACACTTTTAATTATGATCTAGTTCCATGAGATCCCCTTCTTTCAATTATTTGCAACTTCTTTCTTCGACAGTGAGAAACCTGGCTTATTTGCTCAGGTATTTAGGAGTGTGTTACAATTTGCTCAGGTATTTAGGAGTGTGTTACAAAGGATGTTACAGATTCTAGGACAAGGTATGGGAAGGGGGCACAGATCGCCTGCTCTCACTGGGCCGACCAGTTTCCACATGTTCAGATACCCAGAGTTCTTAAGGCAGACATCTCTGGTCTATTGCGTGAGGATACATAAAGGTAATTGTAAAATAAGCATGTGCTCATGAACTCAGAGACTATGGCAGCATGCACAGGGCCTACACAGGTCTAACCCATATGGAGTCCCAGCCAGAGAGGGGAAAATAGTTCCCATCCCTAACCAAGAAGCAGTCTCTTAATTGGCAGCCATTCACAAAGGAAAAATTAGTTTTCTCCTGCGTCGTTTCACTGGGGATACAAAGCACACTTAAGGGCAGGCCCCATGTCCAACAGTAGATGGCTAACACAAAACGAACCAGTGGTAATTTTGAAGACAATTTGTCTCATACTGCTTTGTTTGGACATTTTGTTTTTTATCTTAACTAGTCTTTTGCTTGTATATAGTTTCTGATTTTGTGTTTTTATCAGTTTTATCTGTGCCTATGTTTCTTGTGTGTTTTTTTTTCTTTTTAATATGTTGGTGTGTTTTATTTGCATGCTTGTTTTCTAAAGAGGGAGAGAGGGCATGGAATTAAATGCGAGGAGAGATGTGGAGGGTGTGGAAGGAGAGGGGATCTGAATGTATCCAATGAAAGAAATTATTTTCAGTAGGAAGTAACATGAAAGTAGGCATGTGCTACTCCGAGTGCATGTGTCTCACATGTGTCATCATTTTGCTGCTTCTGACAGAAGCTCCAACCACGCACAGCTCGGTCATGTTCAGTCAGTAGAAGTGAGAGGCAGGGCGACAGCCTTCGCTGACCTGCTGACAGGGTTAAGTGGCGCCTCCCTGTCCCCTTTGGGATGTCTTATCCCTTCTTTCGTGTTAAGAGGACTGAAGAACCCATTTATAGCCAGAGTAGCATTACTTTCCCAATGGCATCCTCCAGTCAAATCCAGACAGTGTTGATCGAAGGGCTCGCATCTTCCTGGAAGGAGTGCGGTGCACGTTCCCCTTCGTTGTGGACATTGTTATGGAATATCCAGGAGAGGTTGCCTTCAGTGATGGGGCTGGGGGAGGGAGGGTCGTAACTAAGACTTCTAGAAGATTGGAATGCTAGGGGCTCTCCTTTATGAAATAAATCTTTGTGTTTTTCTGCTTTTTTAAATATCTTGAGGAAAAATGGAACAGTTTGTATTTGGGCCATCATGTTTTTTGTTTGTTTGTGTGTTTATTTTTTATGTTCTATTCATTTCTAGTAATTTCCAGTGTACCTATTTGCTGTTCACTTTAAGAACAAGGCACCCCCTTGAGGGATTGTTTGGTGTTAATTCTTGTTTTTTCCACAGGGCTTTTCTGATAGGATAGATGCCCAAGGCAGAGCCAGCAACAGTTTGTCATTCTGGCAAGCTGTGCTCTAGGGTGGGAACACAGAGCATGGATGTTTTTTAAAGTCAGCTCTTCAAAAAGCAGGTGTCATGTCCACTCTTTGACATGAGCTACCACCAATGTTCAGTGTCACACAGAGGACTGAATGATGAGATAGGAGAAGAGTCTCCTGTACACTAAACCAAAGTGTGTTTTCTAAGGTGCATGACCACAGGAGTGGGTGCTCGGTAGTGTCTAAAGGCCCTGGAAGCTAAGCACATATGGGAGGTAGAAGCTACAGTTCTAAGCATTGTGCACTTTATAATCCTGAGATCTGTGTTGCAGAAGCAAGAATTCATATCCTTATTAATATCTATCTAGTACATGTCTTGAGTTTTCCTGACTCATACTACATTCACAGATCATAAGGCTGTGTTTTTTAATTTTTGCTTTGAATATTTTTCTTTGAAACAGATCTTTTCTCTTTAGCATTTTGTCTTTTTTTTTAATATGCAGATAATGAACACGTATATATGGAGTTGTCACAAAAGCTTTATAAGTATTGTCCAAAAGAATGGAAAAAAGAGGCCAGCAAGGTACGACAATACGAAGTCACTTGGGTGAGATTACATTTATGCACAAAATTCTTTTCTTTAATTTTAGCTGTCACATTAGGAGAAAAATCATGAGCAATAACTTCTCCGGTGGAGAATGAGAAAAGGAAATGAATTATAAGTGCTGAGATGTCTTGTGGCTCAGGTGTGAATAGCTGACAGCGTAAACCGATAAGTAATAATGTCTCGGTAATATTGGTGTAATGCTCTGAAATGCAGAGCATGGGAAAGTGTTTGCTTTTCTCCTGTGACAGTGTTGTCAAAACTTGTAGGAGTTTTTAATAGTTTTAAATTTGCTTTTTCACAGTTCTTGCAGTCGAGCCTTTGTTGTTTTATTGTGCCAGCATCTTTATGTAGTAAACATCAGTTCCATTTAGTGGGGGAGTGGGCACAGGGGGTTGTGTAGTTCTCCCATTACCCTGGTGAGTCAGGAATGAAATCACAGCTAATCCCAGATTCCCCCTTAGCAGTGCATGCAGGATTCTTGGGCTACACTGGAAGGCGACTTCAAAGCCAACCACAGAGTAAAGCACTCCAACATTTAAGTAAACAAGCAGCGTATTCGAATGTGGTGTGTGGAATTCGGAGGGAACAAGAGAGCATTTGTAATAGAGAGCAAATGGTCACCACAGGGGACAGAGCTGGGCCAGGAGCCTGATCTCAGCTAGAAATTTCCATGGCGTTTATTTTTATCTTCCCTTATGTTCCCATTGGTATCACAGCAAATGAGAATCCAGAGAGGGAGGGCGCCCTGCTTTGCTTTGTAACTTTGTGTTTGGATGTGGACCTGGTGTCCACATGGGACAACTGTGCCTACTACAAGCTCCACGTTAGAAGTAGATAAAGCCTCTCTGTTTGGAAATGTGCTTTGCAAGTGATGGTAGTGTGTTTGCCTTAGAAACCTATGCTGGGGATAACTAAACACAGCTCACTGCACGTGTCTCCATCTTAGGGTATCGACCAGTTTGGGCCTCCCATGATCATCCATTTCCGAGTGCAGTACTATGTGGAGAATGGAAAACTGATCAGGTATGAAGACAAAGAACCCATGAGCCTAATTCTTGGTTTCCTCAATAGTACTTTTTTCTGACACACACCGAATATATCAAGGTGTTCATTGCTTTCCTCTGCCTGTAGAATGTAAACTCTACAACAGCAACAGTTTGTTTGCTTGCTTGCTTTCTTGTTTCTGCACATTCTTAGTGCCTAAAACAGAGGCACATTTGTTACCGAATAAGTATGTCTTGGCTGAATAAATCATGGACTAAAGGCGAAAAGGTTAATGTCACTGGCTAACATTTTTATCCACAGTCCCCAAGAAGGAACTTTCACTGTTATAAAAAGAGATTCCTTAAATATGATTATATTCTTTTTGTTTGGTTTGTTTTATTCTTTCAAGACAGAGTTTCAAGACAGTGTAGCCCTGGCTGTCCTGGTACTCTTTGTGTAGACCAGGCTGACCTTGAACTCAGAGATCATCCTGCCTCTGCTCCCAAAGTGCTGGAATTAAAGGCATGTGCCACCATCAACTGGCAGTTATATCCTTTTCCAGGCAGGACAGGGCCACAAACTCTTAAGCCACTGGTTTTTACATCAGCTTGGTTTTCACTTGATACTCTTAGTCAGTAGTTTCAAAACTAGGAGTTTGAGCTTCCTATGGAAACCAAGGGTATGCGCTGAGGGCCAGGGAACAGTGTCTTCTTCTTGGAGATGGATGTGTGCTCAGCACCATGATGTTAATGAATCAGAATTAACTGGTTTTGAATCTTTCTTTCGTGTGGGATTCAGTACTAGAGAATATGAAAAGATCACATTCTTGGCTGACAGAAACTACACGAAATATGAACTTTTTTCCCTTTACATTTAGACTTTGAGAAATTTCATGTGAAAGGAAAAAATATGCTGGGCCAATGTTATGTGAAAAATTAGCACTTGCTATTTTCTGTTGTTACCATATGTGAAGTAAGAATAAGAAGTACTAATTCAGAGAGACTATTCCTAAAGACTAAAAACTTCGTTAGTTAGCTTCAGCTTGTATGAAGTGCTCACCTACTTTACCTGGCAGGATGGGATGCCCTGTAAGGGAGGAAAATTTATTACTTGGCCACTTATAGGACTAATGAATGTTAACCCTTGATTTCTGTTAACCCCAAAGATGGGAGGAAAAAGACCACCAACCCAAATCATCATGGCCGAATTAAAGCAAGCTCCTAAAAAAAAAAAAAAAAAAAAAAAAACAGGGTTGCAAGGTGCACACAATAAGGTATTCATAACAACACAACAAGGTAGTAATAGGTAGTCGTATAACCTTTTGAAGCAAAGGGAGGGTTGCAAGATGGTTATAAACAACTTTTTGAAAGAAAAACAGGACTGCCATTCCTGGATCAAGCATTATATTGTACCATTTGTAGTGCAGGTTACAGGTGGGGCATAGCCAACCCAATCTCTGAGAAATAGAGGTTTAGTCATAAACAGGAAGAAACCTACTTTGTCCTTGCTTATAAGATGGTTTTTACGCCTAAGATGGAGGCAGGCTGGTTTCTTACCACCCCACAACAGCTTGTAGTATTATAAAAGGCAACACTAAAACATGCCCTGTCCATGGGAAAAGAATTACATAGCTGCTTATTTTTAAGCTCTTCATTCTTAGCCATGGTCTTGGTTAAAATAGACCATGATGTTTCTATTATCTACTGATGAGCTGTGACCTCAGGTAAACAGTCTAAAGTAGTGAGGCCAGTGACCTCGCCTAAAGTGCATGATGGTCTTCCTTGGCTGTAAAACTATCCTATTTGCCTACGAAGATTTCTTTAGCGCTGATGAGATGTCCTGTGACTCACACCCACCACCACCGCAGCTGCCAGCACTACTCATCTGCTCTGTGGAGGCTGAATTTATCTCTGGCTGGGGTGGATTTCAGAGCGTGCACTATTAGTATTTCCTTTTGTGGGGACCGTCGTGGTTGTCATGACGTGCCTGGGAAAACACTCCATAAAACAGCATCCTCTTCCTGTAAGACAAGGCAGGTTCAAGGAAAGCTCTCAGTCATCTGTCCTCAGCCACAGAACAGCAACAAACCACTAGTGAGTGCTGTTCTCCTCCAAGCATATTAAAGTACTTTAGAGCATTTGTAATGCACTGTGGAGAGGAACAGTACAAGGAACATCAAACAGGCACGGCATTGATGTGCAGGGGGAGAAAAGAAGTCAAACAGACTGCTAGTGCCCAGTTTCTGGCATGACCATTCTGTGTTCTGTGACATACTTGCTTCATTGGAGTGGAATGCCTCAGACCTCCCTCTTTTTGAATAAATCAAAGGCTGTGAGCCTTAGCGTGTGTTTTTGGCACCCTGGGCCTTCCGACCCCTGCAGCCTCCTGAGGTGGTGATATGGTCCCAGCTTGGGCCTTCCCCCTTTGGTGGAGTGGGCACAGGGAGAAGAAGCCAAGGGCTTCCTTGTGCCAGCAGATGCAGAGTGAGATTTGGGTTCTGTTGACATATGTCTGTACCATTCCACCCTAACGTGACTGCTGTTTTCCTGTGTTTTCCTAGTGACCGAGTGGCGAGATACTATTATTACTGGCACCTGAAGAAACAAGTTCTGCACTCTCAGTGTGTGCTCAGAGAGGAGGCCTACTTCCTGCTGGCGGCCTTTGCACTGCAGGCTGACCTTGGGAACTTCAAAAGGAACAAGCACCGGGGAAAGTACTTTGAGCCGGAGGCTTACTTCCCGGCATGGGTAGGTGCTGTCTGGGTTCTCCATCGTGTCCGTTCAGAGGACAGCTTCAAGAGATGAGCCTGCACGTTCTGGGGATAGCGAAACCATTCCCAATGCCCAAGTGCAGATCCAAGTAAAATACGGGAGCTTGGCACACTGCGTGTCTTTGCTAGGCTGCTCGTAGCTGAGGAGGCTCACTGCTCATCCTAGATATCAGTGGGCATAAAACGTCCACGGTCCCCTGTTGATATGCACATGGCAGCAGCACTCATAATCTTCCTGGTGAAATGCATCCCCTCCCCCCCCAGGACAAAAATGATTACTTCTCAAGAGATGAGGTCATTCACAGTTTTAATGGGCTGAGAAAACAATTTTTGGCTCTGACCTCTGTGTCCTTTCCCTGCCAGGTGAGGAGCCACCCCCTTCTGTCAGTGAGAAGGATGTAGGTCAATAAGCTCCCTAGCCTGCTGCGTTGTCATTCTTCCCGCAGGTGACTGTCCCTCTCTACTGAGTTCTCCGCTCTGGCTCAGGCTCACTCTCCTGCAGTAGATAGATGTTCACAGAACAATGGGTCACCTGTGTCCACAAAGCGGAACCACCTGGCTTGCCTCCCATCTCAGGAAAGCTTGAAAAGTCAAAGATAGGCCAAGTGTGTTTGATTTTTCTGGCTTCTTCCCTCCTGTGCGCTCCTCAGTCCACTTCCGCCTGTCTGCTTCCCCTCAGCCGTGCACATGCTGCCCTTTCCATTGCCTGGTTTAGACATGTGTCTCTCTTTTTGCTGGGTTTTTCTACTGCACTTGGCACTTAGCCATTTACACCAAGGAGAGGTCATCCCAGTGGCTGCCTTTCCTGACCATCTTCACAATACACAGATGACTCCTAAATATGTTTACACGGTACAGTGAGGTAGCTGTGAAATTCTATGTATTGCAAAATTCAAGAGCATCCTGAATCACACTCTTTCGCCCCTCTCCACAGTAGCCTTACCTCTATATTCCTGGTATCAGAGTGCTGGACATTGCCATCGGCCCAGTTGCCCAGAGCCTGGCTGGCAACACATGGACTCTGCTTGGTACTTCTTCTCCTTGTCCTACCCTGCTGAAGATCAGAGAAGCAAAGCAGCCAGCCACTATCTCTTACCTCTACCTCAGATTGAAAGGGCTGTCCTCTCCTCAGCATGGCAAGAGGATAAATCTCTCATAAGACCCCTTGGTTCTTCCTTTTATACCTCCCTAGTGCTGGGACTAAAGGCGTGTGATCCCAAGTGCTGAGATCACCTTTGTGGGAGCTATTTCTCTTTTAGACTAGATAAATTTCATGTAGGTTATTGTGGCCTTGAACTAACAGAGATCCATCTGCTTGTCTCTTGAATCCTGGGATTAAAGGTGTGTTTCACCATTGCCTGTCACTATGGCTTGTGGCTAGCTTTGCTTTCTATATCCTTAGGCAAGCTTTAATAAATCGTAAGTAATATATCACCACAGAAATCAGCAAGGGCATTCTCAGCATCTCTTAGCCTGCAGCTGTTGGGTACTATCTGTCTTTGACACTTTAAAACTTGGGTGACACCTCCTGATCTAAGCCTTGGCAAATCACGATGGACATTGAGTTGAAATGGTTTCCTTGTGCATTTTCAAGTAGAGTCCCTGGCCTCTCGTGAGAAAACTAGTGTTGCAAAGAATCCTGATCCTTTACCTTCCCCAGATGAACGTTTATAGTCTCATATTCTGTGTGCGTGACTGAGGGAGTGACTGGAAACCAAAACCTGCAGATGTTCTGACGTAGGTGATTTTTATGGTACCCATCATTTTGGGAGTATAATCCACGAAGCGTGTAAAGTTACGCCCATTTGTGTGGGATTTCCCTCACTTTGGCGGCTTTTAAAACCAAGAGAATTTTTTTTTCCCCCATTGAGGTTTTTCCTCTACCAAATGGACTCAGAGTTTATAATGTTAGCTAGTTCCACCCAGTAGCACAACAAGGTAGTGAAAATATGGTAAAATTAGAATTTTCTATTGGAAATTAGCCAATTTATGTGGCCTATTTTAGCTTCTCATCCTTTTGTCATTTGCGGGGGCGGTGTTCCAACAGGTTGTTTCCAAGAGGGGGAAGGAATACATCCTGAAGCACATTCCTAACATGCACAAAGACCAGTTTGCACTGACGGCCTCCGAGGCGCATCTGAAATACATCAAAGAGGCCGTCCGACTGGACGACGTGGCCATCCATTACTACAGGCTGTACAAGGTAGGGTGTGCTCCTTCCTGAGTGGGATTTCAGCTCACCTGAGGACTGCCATGGTGACCATCATGATCTAGCCTAAAGCAGAATGGAGGATCCCTTAAATGTGTAACAGCGCAGTAACAAACGGGTGTAGATCATAACTCTGGCTCCCCGGTGCCCAGTGCTTACACTGTAATTCTTCTGCTTTGAAGAGTAAACCCTTGCAGCCCGTGTGGTGAATATTTATTTTAGTATTCCTCCAGAGAAGCCCCGCCCTCATTCGCCATCATTTGTCCTCTAATTACAGGAGTGTCCCCATAGCAACCAGTGCCAACAGAGCACTGTATTCATCTCTTCAGACCCCATCACTCCGTAAGAAGTGCTCATTTTAGAGGTCAGGAAACTTGAGGCTTAAAGAAGTTAAATAATTCACTAAGGTTGCAAAACCAAGTGGCAGGCTGTGGGATCAGCCCAGGCTCCTGGGTGACAAAGTCTGTGTATAAGTCAAGCACTGTTCACACTCGGGCCCCCTAATTCTCTTTTGCAGCCTGTGTATCTCCAGCCCTATTTTTCTGTACTGAAATGGACCACACATTCACAGATCATTGGGGGCTGATGCTTTGCACACACTCTGCTGTGCTTCAGCATCTTCTTGCCTTCTCCTCCCAGCTCCCCCTGCCTTTTCTATCCTTACCAGTGCTATTCCTCGACTAGAACTGGATTCTCCTAAGTACTCAAGGTGTTATTACAGACCCAGTGGGATGAAGTTGATAAAACATGGTTGGTGAGGTCGAATCCCAGTTTGGCTCTTTACTGTGTGACCCTAGGCAAGCATTTAACATCTCTGTACTTCAGCTGTCCCATAGCTTAAAGGACACTAGAACCTATCTACTACCCCTTAGGACTGCAGCTGAAAGGGAACCATGTTTAAACAGTACTTGTCACATGTCAAGCATGGTGTTCAGTGAGCTACCTCATTGATATGTCTGCTGCCCCTACCATACCTTTTTTGAGAAAATTAGTGTAACTGGGCCTGGGGGGGGGGTGCTGTTTGGTCATATTGCTGGGTAGTTTTCCCAGCTGGTTCCAAAGCTCAACATACTCTCTCTCCCTTGCTCTGGCTCTCATGGTTAATACCTCACCATCCTAGGAAGGCATATGGAGTTCCCTAAGATCTGTCTAAATTCCTAAAGGGCTGACTCACTTTTCCTTAGGCATAGCTTCTTGACACCTCACTTTACAGGAGATAATTCCAGTAAGTGGCATTTGGGACAATCTGTTCGTACTTTGAAGTGCATTAGAAATATAAATGATACATTGGACAGACTGTGTCCTTGGAATGAGCTATCAGTTAGAGGCCCTGGGGATCCTGGGCAGCTGTACTGGTCATGGGCCATCTGTTGAGTAAGGATGACACTATGCCCTGTCTTGAAGGCCAGAAGGGTCCATGCAGTAAAAGGCCTGAAATAGCAAGGCAGGACACCTGTGATCTTAGTGAGCGTTGAGAAAGAAACCATTGCTTTTTGTCTTATTTGCTGGGAAAGCCTGCTAGTTTAAAGAATCCCGATAAAGTAGTCTGTCAGTTAAGTATATATATATATCATATGTGATATATATGTGATATATATATGTGATATAGAGATATATATTAATTATAGATATATAGATATATAAAACTTAATCCTTTGGCCAGGGGTGGGAGGTTGGGGGGATTTGCTTAGTATATGGTTCTACGTCATATAGAAAATGCCTTGTCTGCATTACAAAGACATTTGACAGAAAGCTGTGCCTGACAGAGAGCTAGGATGAACACCTTCTGTTTAGAGACTCAAGCAGCAGCCATCGAATCTGCTACAGCAGGAACAGCTTATGAAAGGGGAAAGGCAGCACTCAGGCAGAAATGGCCTTGTGGTTGTTTTCTCCATACACTCCCAGGCATGCGTGCAGCATTAGCTTGGACCCATTCTTGTTTGAGAAAGCATGGCCACAGCCTGGGGAGGGAACTGCCCTGAGATTGTGAGCCGATGGAACAGGCCCTGTTGAACCTGACACTGCATGTTCCTTTCTTGATACAAAAATGGATTAGCTGGGAAGAAATAACCCAAGCTAGTAACAAGCCAGTTTCTTCTCTGTTTTCCAAGCAAGAACATGTTTTCTGACACTTCTTGTGTCACTGAGAAAATGGCCTTAAATTCAGTGAAGTTTTAGGAGAGATGCTTAGTGGTTTGGAGCAGTAGTTGCTCTTCAAGAGGACCCAGGTTAGATGCCTGCCACCCACATAGTGGCTCCCAGCCATCCATAACTTCAGTCCCAGAGCATCCAACACCCTCTTTCAGCTTAATCCAGCCCTAGGTACACACGTGGTTGGTGTACAATACCCATGCATATAAAATAAATCAAAAATTATTTAAATATTTGATAATATTCATTTATTGTTTTGAGATACCTTGAAAAGAAAACATTTAGTCTTAACTTTTAAAACTCCATGTCTTACTCATTACACATAAGTCCTTAAAGTTTTGCCCAATCTGAGCACATTGTTTAATTCTAGCATTCTTTTCCTGATGGTTAAAATGGCTTAAGTTTGACAGTTTGCATACTTGCACGCTGATAGAATGTGTATTCTATCCATAGATATTTCCAATTAGCAGTAGAAATCTTCTGCTGGAAAGCCTTAAGTGTTTGGTCACTTGTGTCAGCTCTTGGCTTGAGATGGGGGAGTTACCTGATTTGAAGCCTGTAAACCTGTCAGATGTGTGTTGTACTGTAACTAGAGCATGGGATTCTAATATCCACACAGTAAATAAGCACAAGGTGGAAGGTAAAAATGGTCAAAAGGTGGGAAGGCAGCAAGAAATGCCTTGCTGCTGGAGTTCTCAGTGACCTAAATACTTAGACTAGTCTCAGAAGTGGATGTTATGTTTACAGTGCTGAACACTAACGCCTGGAAACCTAAGGAGTCACAAATAAGAGTGTAATTGGTTTAGTAAATCCTCAAGATTTTCTTAAGTCTTGCAGGAAACTGAGAATGTGGAAAGATTTGAGAAGTTATTTGAAGTTAAGAAAACAAAAACAAAAACCCTTCTAAATTCTGAAATGTGTCTTTTTATTTCTTCGTTGCTCAATTGTTTATTATACAGGGAAAAAATGGTTTTCCATAAATTTTTATTCCTTCAGGATAAAAGGGAAGTTGAAGCTTCACTGACTCTGGGATTGACCATGCGGGGAATTCAGATTTTTCAGGTTTGTAAATGAGGGGGGTGTAGTCAAGTGGTATTGAGCAGGTCTCACAACAGAGAATGCTGTGGTGTAACCCTCCCACAGGCTCGGTGCTCAGTTCCTGTCTGTCAGCACAGGGGTGGGTGATGTAGTCATAGCTTGACAGTAGTCAGTCACCCTTAGCAGAGAATGCAGGGTGGAAGATGGGCCCAGTCTTGGCACTCCAGAGCCTCGCTGTCCAAACTCTGCTCCTTGGGACTCATGGATTATCAGTGTTCTCTCCTACCATAGAAAGCTCGTTACAGTTTTCTGATACACGATGCCCATAAATGGGTGGGGACTATCTTCCTCCCGTAGGTAGGACAGTGTTATCTTGTAGCCTTACTTCAGGGACTGAAGAAATTATCTCTCTTAGAAAGATGGCTTATCTTTGATCCAGGCAAAATGTCCAATTATGGAAGTCTCAGTCCCTTGGATGCCGAGTGTCTGGGAGTCTTTTGGACTTCCTGTTTAAATTCAAGGGTAGACCAAAGGGAAAGATGTCTTTGGATGCAGTCCACAGGAGCTGTGGGATTTTATTGATAATCTTAATTACTGTCTGCCCTTCTCCTATAAGGATTGAGGACGCATTCAGATTTTAATTACTGAATTTTAGTTTACTATGAAATAAGTCAAGACAGTTTTAGGATATCTGTTATATTTGCTCTTAACTCCAATATGCTGAAATTCTTCCCACAGAATCTAGAAGAAGAGAAACAATTGCTGTTTGATTTCCCCTGGACAAATGTCGGGAAGTTGGTGTTTGTGGTAAGTGTAAATAACTAAGAAAAGAGGGGTGGGGAGGGGAAAAAGAAGTCTTACAGGTTGTTTTTGAGAATGGGGGGGGTCATTTTGAAAAATATTGTCTCCAAGAGTCAGGTTTTTTTGAATGGGGTTGGGGCTGGTTGGTTGTTTTGTTCTCTTTTTAAATGAAAGCTAAGGCTGGGTGAAATGACTCAGCACAGAGGGCTTGCAGCCAAATACAACAACCTAAGTTGAATCCCTGAGACCCGCCAGGTGGAAGGAAAGGACTAGATCCCACGGTTTGTCCTCTCACCCACCCCGACATACACAAAATAAATGTTTAAAAGTGTGTGTGTGTGTGTGTGTGTGTGTGTGTGTGTGTGTAAGTAAAAAGGCTGACAACAATTTGCTCTCTTAAGTACTGTCATAACCAGAGCTATTTTTGTAAGAAGCAAATTAAAATCAAAGAACTTCATCTCTGTGTCAGTGTCTGCCACACTGCCTTAAGTAAGTTGGATGGCAGGCGGGAAAGTGAAGGGGAGATACAAGGTGAATCCACCAAATGGAATTACATTTAAAAGTCCACAGCAGAGGAGTTGTTGGCACAGGGAATAAATGACTCAGCATGTAGGCTGACTGTTGGCCAAGGAAGTTCCTTAGTTCTAGTGAAGAATGCAAAGTGAAATTTTAAAAGGTCTTTCCATTAATGCCAGACTATATAGCATTCGGCTGGTCATTTTCAGTAGTCCACCATAAGCATTGGGGAAAGAATGATATAGGTTCTATGAGAACACATTCTTGATTGACTCTTGGCCATGTCTCTACTCAGCCAGCCATGTTCACTGTGTGGTCATATTCCAAGAATTACAGTTACTGTTGTGTGTGTCTGTATGAAGGTCACTAAAATTCACTAAAATCCATAATTCTGCTGAGTTCTGAAGCTAATGATATGTAGACACGCATTCCTCTCAGTAGAACAGAAGGCCTATGCAGATAGAGGGTCATCTTGTCTTGTTGGAGCATAGCACTGGCCCCTCCCAGCCTGCCAGTCAGAAAATCTGAATCTACGTTGCCTTAATTCTGTGAGTGCCATCTGCTCTGGCTCACTCGTGTGTTAAGTGGCGCTTTCTCTGCCCACTCCTCACTGGTGCTCTCATGGTCTGGCCCTTTGCCAGACTGTTTGACAATCGTAACTCGGTTTGCTCCTTCATGCCCAGGAGCAGTAGTGATAAAATGCATTCATGAAGTTAAGCCCTTTAGCATACCGTGATTGGTGACCCCAGACACTCCCTCATTTAGGATCTTGTTGAAGTTGGCCGGCTTCTCAGCCTCGTTCCCCTTCCCCAAGAGATTTTCTGATTCAGCATGTACACCAGGAATCCATTTCACAAGTTTCCCAGCCCTGCCTACATATGTGACCTTGAGCAAGTGACTCAGTTTCTCTCTGCGTTGGCTTCCTTCTCAGATGGTGGTAGTCTGCTCTGCACTATAGATAGACTCCTTGTGAGGGTTAGATGAATTGATGTGTGTTTAGTACTCGCTGAATGTCAGTTATTGCAATCCAAGCATTGGGGTCCAATAAATTCAAGAGCCAATGGTTTAAAAAAATAAACACAAAGTGTATGTGAGCTACAGTCCCCCGATGTCTTACTCCAGCTCCATCTCTACTCATTTGCTACATTAAGGTATTGGGATTGCATCTGGAGGGATCTCTTGTGCTGGGCCAAAGAAGACGAACACACCCCACCTGTCCCACTGTCCAGGCTTCCCAGAGCCTTGCTAGAACCCACCCTAGTTTGGCATTCTCTGTCCTTCAGCAGCTCTGAAGGGGAAAGGGAAGCAAATATTTGTCCCTCAGAGAGCCGTCAGCTCAGCCTCACACATCTGTAAGAACCTTAGTTTAAGAATGAAGGGGACTTGGGAAATTCAGAGAGTTTTCTGCTGTAATTTGCTTCATCCTTTCCCTCCACAGGGCAAGAAGTTTGAGATTTTACCAGATGGCCTTCCCTCTGCCAGGAAGCTGGTCTATTACACAGGGTGCCCCACACGCTCCCGGCATCTCCTGCAGCTGCTGAGCAACAGCCACCGCCTGTACATGAACCTGCAGCCGGTGCTGCGCCACCTCCGCAAGCTGGAGGAGAATGAAGGTAGGGCGGGGCGGGTGATGTTGTGGGTCCCACCTGGGGAAGGCAAGGCTGCCTTGCCCCTCTGGCCTCTTACTCCCCCCACCAGGAGTGTGAATGGGATTTTCAGAGACCGAATCTAGAAATTTGGAGTTCGGTTCCATCCATGTCTCATCATTCCGAGTACTCCCAGCCTCATCTGTTTAGAGTTTCTAAACCCTGGCTTGAAAAGCTTGCAAAGGGCTAGGGTGGAACCCTTCTGCGTCAGTGCTGAGTGCACCAGGCCAACTGGCCTTGCTGTGTGCAGGAATTGCAGCTCCTTCTAACGCGGTACTTTCCTTAGGCCCAAGTGACAGTGAAAATAGGTCACCGCTTCTTTGACTGACAGCAGGGAGACCCTCAAGATGATGCTGTAATAAAAAAAAAAAAATGGAGAAGGCCTTTTCCACCCAGGGAGTTTGCCCACAGCCCTGAGGGGGCATTGCAGAGATTCAGTGGACCTGAACAATATGTGTGAGGCCCTAGCACTGTCCTAAGAAGAAGGCAGGCTATTCGAGGAAAAAGGCAGTAGCAGACCTCAGTTTAGCAGTTTCTGTCTTTGTTCTCACTGTGGCACCCCAGGGCTCCTCTACTTAGTAAATACCAGCGTCTCATCCCCAAATGCTGTTTTGTGTGTTTGCTGAGACTCGCTTTCAGTTTGTCCCACAAAGTCCTATTGTGGTCATTGTCACAGTAATCAGATTAGATATGGAATGTCTGCCTGGGCCTCAGGACATAGTGGTTCATGCTTTAGCTCTATACATGAAACAAGTGCAGATCCCAGTGCCCCTGTAGAAAGGGACAAGGACCTGTCCTCCCTCTAACAAAGCAGCCTTAAAGAAGACATGCATCTTCTCTAAAGCCAGATGTGGCCAGATGTGTGGAGATTCCTTGAGTCTACCATGGTGAGAACGTGAATCACTCCCTCTATCTGCCACTGTGATTCTCCTATGGTACCATCAGGGGTACCAGCCTCTGCTGCGGACTGCATCAGCCTAGTTAATACATCACCTCTGGGCTGCCATGAATATTAAGAGGAATCAACTTAGGGACAAAAGCCCTTAAGAGGCCTGTGAGAACAGGTGACTTAACTGGGTGTAGAGCCCATGATTTTCCAAATCTGCCTCATTCCTAAGTGGCCACTGTGGCACCTTAAGAGGTTTGTTTAATGGTATCAGCTCTCAACCCATTTTAGTTATGCGGAAGACTTTGAAGGGAACCGTTGAGAGTCTGATGAATTTGGTGCCCTTCCCTACAGCGATAAGGTAAAGTTGTAAAGGATGCTGAGCTCTTGGAGGCCAGGGCACCGTCCCCTTGATATGAGCAAATGTCTCAGTCCATTCTGCTGCCAGAACAGAGCATAGATGCTGGTGATGCATAGAGAATGCCTGGGAAGTCCAAAACACAGCTGGGCATCTGCCACAGACTTCCTGATGACTTTCTGGAAGAGCAAAGAGCAGGCACAGGAGACTCCCACAGTAACATTTGTCCATGAATAAGGACAGAGCTCTCACAGCCTAGTCACGTCTGAACAGCCCCACATCTTACACCATCACAACACTAATGAAATTTCAACCTGAGTTTGAGGGGGCATTCAGAGCACTATAGGGGAGTGAAGAAATGGTAAAGGTGTATGTTGTATCTTATATTTGGCTGAGTTTAAATGATGGAGGCAGTATTTTACAGAAAAAATAGGCTTAGTGTTTTTGTTTTTTTTTTTTTTTTTTTCTACTTAGAGGTACCTTCAGATCTAAAGAAATCCTCACACCAAGTTTCTGTGATCTAGCTTTGCTACAGATTCACGAATCCGCCTATAAGGGCGTTATCATTTTAACCAGAAAAGCCTTGGCATTAGTTGAGCATAAAAAGAAGGGTTTCCCTTAAATTTCATTTCTATATACCTTTTAAAGAATTTCTGTTTCACCATTTCTATGGAAATAGTCATAAGATTACTTCCATGGAGTTGAGAGAAGGAAAGTATGTCTTGTATCATTAAAAACACCATCTAGCAGGGCAGTCGTAGCCCACGCTCCTTTAATCCCAGCACTTGGATGGCAGAGATAGGCCAATCTCTGTGATTTCCAGGCCAGCCTGGTATACAGAGTGATTTCTAGAACAGCCAGGGCTGTTACACATCTGTCTGTCATCTATGGTTACTAGAACACATTCTTAGGTCCCAGATCAAGAAGTCACACTTAGCACATTTTATTCTAAAACATAGTCTGAAAACCTCTGTTCCCCAGGCTTACTCTGTATAAGGCGTGGTGTTCTGATGATCTGGCCATGGGCTCTCATGGCCTCCTTTCTTCCTCCTGCCACCCATTTCCTCAGAGAGCTGCTGGGGTCCAGGTTCAGGGTCATATGCAGACAGAAGGGCTGCAAGGGTTTCTGCTCAGCCAAGAAGCAAGACAAGTATGTCCATTAGCAGGTCCCCAACATCCCAATTAGGTTGCTAGTTTAGAATTACATCGATTTAATGCTCCCCGAATGTACACTGTCCTTAACATTGGTCTGCTGTGCTTCTTTCTCATCCTGTTTCTTTTAAACGTTTCTCATTTGAAACACAAGAACTCGACTTTGAGCGCCACCCCGTAGTCCAGCTGTGGCTTTGTAACTCCACGTATGTTTAGATTAGTGTTTGCTAAGAGAACTTCCTCAAGTCTGGCTTTCCAGTGTCTGTCTTTTGACTGCAGCAACCAACACCACCCATCTGTTAAAACTGGGGATTTGTACCAATCAGAGAGAGGCCACCTGGTGTGGAGCCAAACCATTAGTGATGACTATGGTAGATAATGCCTCCCTTTCTGGCCAAACTGGAGAAAGCCAGCCTTGAATTACTTGAAAAGCTAAGTTTTAGAATCTTTGAAAGAAATTTTCTGAATAGCTTTGTCTTGTTAGGTTTAGCAACTGAAGGAAACAGGAGTCCAAATTGAATAAATGAATACATAAAACGAATAGCAGTTAGCATATTGAATAAACTATTCACTGAATGTTTCTAGAATCTTCTGTGGAGGACCAGATTTTGACATTTAACATGATGTTAGCTGCCAGCTTTGCAAAATGCAGAATCTGGTAGTGGCTGTTGTGGCAATGTCACATGGCTCTGCAAGGTGTTAGGTGTTCTCCTTGGTGAAATCACTTTGCAATGGTAGAAGTTTGCAGAAAGGAAGTGGCATGCTGTGACACTCTGGTGTTTGAAGCTCCATAACCAGCCATTTTAAAGTCCCCGCAAGGGACTGCTGCACTGATGTTTATCCCTCATAGAGTTTTCCTACGTCAGACTCCAGTTCCTAGAATTCCTCAGTCACTAGAATCAGAGAGCCTGCCCTTGATCTCAGCCTGACACTCTTTCTGCTGTGGTTGAGTATGCACTAAACTGTGTTCTCCCACACAGAGAAAAAGCAGTACCGGGAATCCTACATCAGCGACAACCTAGACCTTGACATGGACCAGCTGGAAAAGCGATCCCGTGCCAGCGGGAGCAGCGCCGGCAGCGTGAAGCATAAGCGTTTGTCCCGCCACTCCACGGCCAGCCACAGCAGCTCCCACACCTCGGGCATCGAAGCGGACACTAAGCCCCGGGACCCAGGGCCAGAAGACAGCTGTTCAGGCAGCGCCGTGCACCGCAAGCTGAAGACCTGCAGCTCCATGACCAGCCATGGCAGCTCCCACACCTCAGGGGTGGAGAGCGGCGGCAAAGAGCGCCTGGAAGAGGACTCTCAGGACGATGGTAACTCCTGCTGCTGCAGCTTTTCCCATGCTGGTCCTGTAGAACTGGTATCTGGTTAGTGTCTAAGTAATGGTGATAGAGAAGTTTTGCCGTCTTCCCGGGGACCTGAATGAGTTGCATGTGTCTATCAGAGACCTTTGCAGCCTCAGAGATGGCAGCTTGTATAAAGTTTAGCCTTTGTGTCTTGTGTTCCTCTTAAAAAAACAAAACAAAATGCACCCTGTACATACCATTAACTCCCAAAGTGTTTTCTTGAGTGCTCCCCATGTCACCAATAAGAAGTATAAAAGAAATATGGAACCTGGCTGCTAGGAAATGACTCTCCATCGACAGAAAGCAACAGATCTCAGCTTTCATCAGTCAGATTTAGCATTTGTGTGCTTCTTTTAAGTTTGTTTCTATTTCACATGAGATCTATAGCATCTGGGTTTGATTGGGGGAAAAAAAAAACTATTGACTCTTATGCACAACGTGTTAGGCTCCTGTACACTTCATGCTGCACCGCAGCGGCTGCTGTGGAGTGCCCCGGCGGGCATGGGTCAGCAGTCCTTGCCCTGGAGCTAATGACCCATCAGCATCAGTTAGCCCTGGGTCACTGCAGCATGACTCTGTGGCTTCTCCTGTCCCTTAAAGAGTAGAGTAATTGATGGCAGAGCATGGCACGAGAGGCCGTGGCATAACAGCAATCCTTCAAAAGGAGCACATTGTACTGCGGCTTGTCCCCAGACTTTCCCACTGCAGAGTTGTGTTCTCAGTTTATTCACAAATGTGAATTTTTACCTGGCCGCTCTCACAGTGTAGTGTGGCTGTGGGTTCCTTGGGGGTCATTAAATGTCTTCTCCCCTACTTCTGTGTCAGAAATAGAGATGCTGGTCGACGACCCCAGGGACCTGGAGCCCATGACAGAGGAAGTCAGCCCTGACGTGTGCATCTACATCACAGAGGACATGCTCCTGTCAAGGAAGCTGAATGGACACTCTGGTGAGCTCTTACAGCAAGCTGTTTCCTCCAGAAGCCCACAAGCCTGTGCCTTACAAGATAGGAGGGTGGTGCGGATGCTCAGTCTACCAGGGAGAAAAGAAAAACCACTTCAGGTCACTTGACCACAGGGCCAGGAAGAGGGATGGGCACCAGGAAGGAACATTAGCGGCTTTTACCCAGGCTGTGGACCACAAATTACTTGTGTTGTAGGCTGGCCGGCTTTGTTTTCTTTCTCCCACCTCGCTCCCTTGACAGTTAGAGAACCACATGGCCCTGGAAGGAATCTTGGAGACCCTTCCATCTGGCCTCTTCCCTTTTGCACATGAAAAAAATGAAGACATTAAAGAGACAAATGTCCATGACTAGAAACAGAAGTCAGGCAGGTTTGGTTTTGGTTTGTGTCCCCCACTGTATTATATGACTAGAAGAATCTGCAAGAGAAAGAGAAACTGGTGTGATTTTTTATTTTTTTTTAATAGATAGATAGATAGACATTCTTTTCTTCTTTTTTTTTTTTTTTTTTTTTTTTTTTTTTTTTTGGTTGGTTGGTTGGTTGGTTTTGAGACGGAGTTATTCTATGTAGCCCTGGCTGTTTTGGAACTCATTCTACAGATGAGGCTGGCCTTGAACTCACAGAGGTAGACATTTCTTGAATTACATATTTGCATGCAAGAAAACATGCCTTCACTGTAGTTTTGATGCTGGGTTATATAATACTCCACAATGCATGTTTCCATTCCTGAAGTCAGCAGTGTGAGTCTGTTTTAAACCTCTGCGTGCCTCTGTCAGGCGTCATGAATTAATCTCCTCTGTTCCTTAGGTTTAAGACTTAGGGACCCAGCATTGTGAAAGAGCTCTGGATTCTTATTCTCCAACCACTTTCAGCTTTGATCAAGTGAGAGGCTCCTCATCCACCTCTCTGAGTGGCTAATACCGGCTGTTAGAGGGTCACTGCCATCCCGCCTCTTACTGTACAAGAATACAAGGAACAATTCATTGCAGGATTCCATTTGCTCACCCAACCCAACCACACTTGTAGATGCTTGCCCTAAGCCATGGCAGACCCACCAGCAGTGCAGATGGAGAATCCTCTCCCTCACCAGCCCAGATTCATGATGCCAAGCCAGCCTTGATTTTTCCTGCCCATCTGCTTTATTATATTGAATTTTCTCCTTATATGTTAAATGTAAATCCTCAGCTATATGCATGTGATAAGTGCATGAGAAATGCTGCATATTTATGTTTGTAAAAAGAAAATGATTTGAAGTAGTATACACCACAATGCCTATGAAGGAAAATGTGGGCACTGGCAAGGGCTTCGTATTTGATATTTCTGCATTCAATTTTCATGAGGTTATTAATTTTGTGATTTTTTTAAAAATAGGAATAAAAAACAGGATGGCTGTTAATAGGATTTAATATACCTTTTCATATGTTCTTAGTTGTGAAAAACAACAGAGTTAAATTGTCCGATCACTAGACATTGGAATAGTAGGCAGCTTTTGCATGAGGTTCTTCAAAGGGTACTATACAGAATTCAAAAGCTAGGCAGGTGTAAAAATGATACCTGGAACTGTTAATATAGAACAGTTGGGGACGCGGTTGCTTTCGGTTTCTCCTTGCATCACCCGGGGTCACCCGGGTTTTCCAGTTCTCTGCCATGTGAGCATGGCTTTTTATCTGATCTGGATTGAGTGCTGATAAGGCAACCCTGCTTGACTGTGACGTCCCCAGTGGTGGACATGGGCTTGGAGGAGAGTGGTCAGAGGCACAGGAGGCAAGGACATTACCAGAGACCCCCACACAGAATCATGCCACTTGCCCAGCGGTGCATGAGCCCTTTGGTCCTGTGGGATCCATTCAAGGGTTCGCACTACCACCCCAAGCACAAGCATCACCCGTGTATAAGCCAGGAATGGCTTCACAGTCCGCGTCTCACTGAACTTACCGCATCCTCTATATTTACAAGGTGCATACTGGGCTCTGTAGGCTGCTGGCAGTGCTGTGTCTAAGTCTCTGGTGTGGTGGGGGGTACATGTCCCTCAGAAGCCATTATCTCTGTGCCTCTACCGCAGCTGGTCCTCCCTTGTTTCAGTGGTGTTTGCTTGAGCATTCAGCATGAGTTGGTAATTTTAGCCTCTGAAACATTTTTGGAGAGTGCATCCCTCACATGTTAAAGTCAGAAAGGAGAATATCATCCTTAGACTTCAGGTTCTGAAAATGAGGTTTCCTCAAGGCACAGAGGTGATGAAGGGCTGTGCTGATCTCTAAAAGCCAGGGCTGAATTCTTACTGCCATCTCCACCTTGATCTCTTCCCATTGGGATCTGCCGAGGGGCTGTGGTCATAGTGCCCTGTGGGCCAGCAGGAGCTCCTGACCCATTTTGTCCATTGCTGTTAAACCATCACTAAAATGATAGTTGAGTAGCAGCCCTTGTTTGTAAAAGGAAGCCCATGAGATGTGGGGAGGCTTGAAAATTGGCCAGGATACACAGCCAGTTAATTGGCCAGGTCCCAGCCCCAGCCCATCTGATTGCAGAGGGCAACATTCTCACACCTAATGTCCACATAGAACCAAAGCTAGGAGATTACATTAGCGCTCCACACTGTGATATATGAAGAGGAGAAGGGAGATGTGGAGAAGAGATAAAAAGACCTCTTTACACCTAAGACCTCCATCTCATCTTACAAACAGCTTATTCCTGGACCTCCCCACCTTAGGCAACCCTTACTCATTTCCCTCTGCTTCCTACTAAAGAGTGGGTGCCACCAGCTGTGAGCCACTGAGGAGTCACCATGAGAGTCTTCAGTAATGATCACAGTCGGTCTTGTCAGAAAATGTGAAGGAGGTTCATTGTTTTTTCTGTTTTATCCTAGGGCTAATTGTGAAAGAAATCGGTTCTTCCACCTCCAGCTCTTCAGAAACAGTTGTCAAGCTTCGTGGGCAGAGCACTGACTCCCTTCCACAGGTACTAGGGGATTAAAATCTTTATGTTGGCAACTGGAGTTACAGACATGCTGTCCTAGTTAGGATCACTGTTGCTGTGAAGGGACACCTTGACCACGGCAACTCTTATAAAGGAAAACGTTTAATAAAGGAAAACGTTTAATCGAGGCTGCCTTACGGTTCAGAGGTTCAGTTCATTATCAGCATGGCAGGAAAGCTTGGTAGCACACAGGCAGCAGACATGGTAGTGGAGAGGGGCTGAGAGTTCTGTATCTTGATCCACAGGGAGCAGGAAGTGAACTGTGGACCACACTGGGCATAGATTGAGCATATAAGACCTCAAAACCTACCTCCACAGTGACACACTTCCTCCAACAAGGCCACACCTCCTAATAGTGTCACTTCCTATGGGCCAAGCCTTCAAATACACTAGTCTATGGGGGGGGGCATTCCAACACAAACCCCCGCACATGCTTGCATAGGACTACAATTCATACATACGTGCAAAATAACAACCAGAAGGAAACGAGTTATGACCAGGTACATACATTGTCACCATATTCTGAATTTATTTTCATCTCGTATGCTAGTTCCAATTATTTTGGGGTTTTATTTGGGTAGTTTTGTGTTTTGTTGTACACTCCTTTTACGAGGTAGCCTCTTGTAGACAGGCTTCTGTGTGTGCACCCAAGAAGGTGTGTTTGTATTTGTGTTGGGGTTGACTGGCCACCTCAGCAGGGTGGGAAGATCATTACTGAGTGTAGTAAATGGCAGGGCAGTTTCATTGAATTTCTAATGTGTGCTGAGCTACACTATCTATCTGCCAACTGTGGCCACTGGCGTAGCTCTTTAAAAATGTTTATATAATTATACACATCTTTTCCCTCTCCTTTCTTTCTCCTGGCGGTGTGGCTCACTTTGTACTCTACTTTTTGAGTTTTTGTTTGTTTGTTTGTTTTGTTTTGTTTTGTTTGTTTTGGGAGTTTACCCATTTTTTTGTACTTTCATAAAAGGAAGCCATACTTTGGAATATCATTTCTTAGTTTTTGGGGTTTTTTTGTTTGTTTGTTTGTTTGTTTTTGTTTTTTTTGTTTTTGTTTTTGAGACAGGCACCACAGCTGAGCAGCAAGTGTCAAACCTACAGCTCTGGGACATTTGTGTGCCTTGAGGGTTTGTGGTAATAACCAAATAATTCCATGTCTGAGGTCCTTTTGAGACCTGGAAAGACTATATCAAGTTTAGCAATGTCACTCAAATGTGATCCTTTGTAGCAAAATGTGCTCCTGGAATGTCTGTGTCTAGCAAAATGGTGTCTTGTTCCAACAAGATGTTCCTTGTAGTGCCAAACAGCAAACTTAGACTAGCTAGTTTCTTTATATCACTCAGTAAGCACCTCCCATTTGTGTTATTATCTGAACCAGTCTTTAACTATTTTCCACCAGGACCACTTGAGAAAATGAATTCAAAAAGCCTGCCACCTACTTGGAAGGACAGGACCTCTCTATGTGTCCAGGACTGCTGCTTTTTCATTCTGCATTTCAAAAATTATTTTTTATTTGTGTGCATGTATGTTCACATGCATCCAGGTACCTCTGGAGGCCAGAAGATAGTGTCGGATTCCCAGGGGCTGGAGTTACACACTGTTGTGAGCCACTGCTGTGGGTGTTGGAAACTGAACCTGGGTTTTGTACAAGAACAGTAACAACTAAACCATCTCTGCAGCCCCAGTTTCCACCTAGGTTTGGCAGTAAGAATTCTTTATATTCTGCACTGTTTAAAACTTGCTTCTTCAAGCTGTATTTCCTGAGTGATAATTGCTTTTCCATTTCTTATTAAAATATTAGTAGACCCAAGCAGGGAGGGTGTTCACAAGTTAAACTGCCCTATCCTGATGGGAAGATGAAGGCAGGAAGGAAGGAAGGAAGGAAGGAAGGCAGGCAGGCAGGCAGGCAGGCAGGCAGGCAGGCAGGCATTATTTTTATCTTAATAGCCTTCTTTTGCAGTAACTGCTGGGTTTCTCAAATGCTAGGAGTAGTTGCCTGCCTGTCTTTGTGTTGGCTATATACACCGGGGAGGAACACTACCCAGCTTGTACTAGCTGAGTGCTTAGGCAGAAGAGACATTGAAATACTCCGTAAAAGTCCCTTCCCCCAGAAGCCACAGGTTGGAAAGCACTTTCTACCATTTTACTTGACATTTTATGATTTTTGCAGCAGCTCTCTCTTCTGACCAAAGACATTACCTTTCCAAGTAGTCCATACCATTGCACTTTCTCACCCTCCCCTTTTCTTACAGACAATATGCCGAAAACCAAAGACTTCCACGGATCGACATAGCCTGAGCCTTGACGACATCAGACTGTACCAGAGAGACTTCCTGCGCATCGCAGGTCTGTGTCAGGACACTGCTCAGAGTTACACTTTTGGGTGTGGCCATGAACTGGATGAGGATGGCCTCTACTGCAATAGCTGCTTGGCTCAGCAGTGTGTCAACATCCAAGATGCTTTCCCGGTCAAAAGAACCAGCAAATACTTTTCTCTGGACCTCACTCACGATGAGGTCCCAGAGTTCGTTGTATAAGTCCCACCTGCGGGCAGCCCTGCGGGCAGCCGCTGTCTGCTGGAGGCTGTGGAGTCCGAGATTCTTTACATATTATTTGTGCCATATTTTTTCACCCCAAACTTAGCTCTTTCTTTATAATATCCATGATGGAAACAAAAGCCTTGGGACAATGCACTTTAAGTATTATGCAGAGGTAAAAGATACACAGAATGTACAAAGACAAGTGCCCGGATGTTTATTGACCCTTTGGGAACAAATGTGCTTTATAGTTTACCCAGCTTCCAGACTGTTAGGTTGTGGTGTGTGTGTTCTTCATATCTTGTTTTCTAGCTCAAATACATGTTTTTCACATGAAAGATAGATGTCAGGCATACCTGTTTGCTTGTGAATTTTCTTTTTCTAGCCACTCCCTCATGGAGCGCTTACGGTTCAAGAGGGAAGTTCTCTCTTCTTTTACTGAGAGCTGTTCTTAGTCCGTAGCCATTGCTGCCCCATAAGCGCTTGGCCCAAATTGAACCTGATGGTGGAAGCCTATGGTTCTAGCCAAAGATGAGCATGTAACGGAAGCGCACTGCAGAGTCCAGAAGATGTGTGCCGGGACTCCTTCACACCCCACAGTGCCACACCCACTGCTCTGTTCTTCCAGGAAGCGCTGGGCTTCACCTGTGTTCATGATGGTGCATTGTGTGGAGTTTACAAAGCTGATATATGTTAAAAAGAAAAAATGGAAATGTCTTCAGAAAAGTTTGTTTTGTTTTTTCTTTGTTGTTTTTCAATGATGGCAAACAAATGGCAATGCTAGTTTCTGCTTTAAAAAGAAATGTATATGTTATACATATATAGTTACATGGGACTATATGTGTTTATATGTGTTTAAAGCTTAATGACTCCTCATTTGGACTTCCATGTACGCCTTGCACACAGAGAATTCCTTGTTTGATGTTGAGGATATGTTCCTGAAAGAATGGTAGCCACAGACAATCAGCTGATAAGTACAGAGTTAAGAGTGACTTTCCTTGTGTGCCTTCGGCCAAGATTCTCAACCCCAATTGTATAACAAGACTTATCTGGGGAGCTTTTAAAACAAGCCTGGGTCCTACCCCAGGCCAATTTAAATCAGTCTCTTGTGGGTGGGGCTCAGGTAAAAATGTCTTGCTTGTAAAGTTTACCAGGTAGAAGTAATGCACAGTAGGATTGGAACCCATTGATCCCAGAGTGTCTTTTTATTAGTTTTGAAATAAAAGTCTACAGGGGATACTAGTGATTGTGAATGGGCCATTTCTAAGACAGTCACTGCCCTGCTGCTGTTACAGTGTATAATGAAAGCAAGCCAGGAGAATGAGTTTATCAACTTGATATGCAATGAAAATGTTGCTCGCACTTCAGGAGAGAACTTCATAGCACAAAGTCTTTCTAGGGGATGTTTTTAATGATTTAGTATTTTACAGCATTTGTTTACCATATTTTGATACTCCATTTTTGCTATCTTCCAGGTTTTATTAAAAAAAAAACTATGTATTATTTTCTAAAGAAACTCATATTTTTGTACAAAATCATGTTTTCAAGTAACGAAGAAATAGATTTAGGGTACAGCAGAGCATAAGCAGTGTTCCCTGTGGATGGGAGTCAGGGTTACAGAACCGGTGGCGGCCACAAGCCTGCCCCACCCCAGGCTGCCCTCCTGTGCAGGCACAGTAACTCACCCAGTAACTCCCACCTGACTCTGAAAAAAGAAGAAAACAAAAGTTCTGTGGCCGTGACATTATTTTGCTTTTGTGGAATGCTTTTAGAAGAACCAAAGTTTCTGATACCAGAATGTAACTCAGTCTCCTCGCGGAAGGATGAAAGTTGAAGGGATGACTTAATGACTTCTTTTGCTTATGAGTCATTACATAACCTCACTATTTTTTATAGAGGCTTAGGGGCCAGACCCTGTTGAAGTTGGTACTCTTGAGAGCCCAGATTGCCATGCTGTGTGTTCGCACAGCCTTTCAGCATCGCTTGCAGATACAAAGATGAAAAAGTTGCTTAATTGAACAGATGTGCTCAATAACTTTTTTCCTCTCTGCTCCAGAATCCAGTCTCCAGGGTTCTGCCAATGGCATTGCTTTTCATCACTCTCCTTCAGCCAGATTTGGGAATGAATAGCCTTATGGATTTTCAAAGATGAAACCTGCTAGGAAACATTTTTAGCTTTTCCATTCATGGTAGAATTGTACACAGATATGTATGTGGAAATCCATTTTGAATAACTGACATTTTTGTATTGGGAAATTGTTTTTAAAAAGAAAAGAAACGTATACAGCTGTTATTTATGCTGTGTTTGTTAACATGTCTGTTGCTGGTTAATACACCGGTTTGGTCTATGTCACTGCTCCGCGTCATCTGCATTTGTATTTGCAACAGTGAGCTTTATATCTAAGTAAGCTGTAAATAATCCTTTCTGTGAAAGGATCCTCATGTTGGGATGATACTGAAATATGTTAAAAAAAAAAACTTGCATTTATTTTGTAATTATTTCTTATAGGTGTTTCATGGTAAGATCAGCAGTCAATAAAGTTAACTTTTTGGCCTTTAAGGTGTCTTATTATTATTAGACTCCAGAAGAAGTGCTTGTGTGCTTTCTTTGTGTTCTTCTGGCCCATAATAGAGGATATTTAAGGCAACCTTGTGATGATGGTGAGAAATGATGCTGAGTTCTGTGGTACCCAGATTAGAACTGCACACGTTAGTCCTCATGCCTGGTGATTACTGTGCCAGCTAGTATAGGTATTAAGGGCTTTTCCAAATAGTTGTAGCAAAGTCACACACTGCTGTCTCATCAGAGGCTAAAAGGACACATATGTATGTATTGTGTGTGTACATGTGGGCATACATGCACCACAGTGCCTGTGTAGAGGTTCTGGGAATTTAACTCAGGTTGTTGGGCTCAGCAGTAAGTACCTTTGTGCACTAAGTCATCTCCCTGGCTCTCAAAAGGCTAACTTTTTTTTAATGTTTTTAATTAAAGCAATACCTTTCCCATAAGCATTTAAGACGGTCACAGTTGTTTCTAAGTGGTTGCATTCATAAGGGTGAAGGCCCCGAAACATAAAGGGAAGGAGCCAGGAACTGCATCCAGAGATGACCTCTGCAAAGCCTAGCTCACCCTCAAAGACAGACCTTACCCCCCTGCTCCAGTTTTCTTGGCTACAGAGAGGCAGTATTAACTCAAAGGACTATTTAAGAAATAAGTAAGGTAATAAGGTACCCTGGTGAGTAGAATGAGAGATAAGAGTTTTCAGAACTTCAAACAGGCATTTATTTAACTCTTACAGAATAGTCATTTAGAAACCCAGAATCTAAAATGAGAGGTTGGGGCAGGGGAGTGTGTTTGTTGTGTAACACTGAGGTTTGCAGACAGGGACCCAAGCATGCTAGCAAGCAGTATACCACTGGGTTATATCCCAACTTCCTTTTGCTGTTGTGTGGTATATATGTGTTCATGAATGCATGCGTAGGCCCAAAGTTAACATTGACCGTTATATCCCCAATACACCAGAGCAGTCTCATGCTGAACCTGGAAGTCACTAACAGCTAGTCCCAAGCGCTGGGATTACAAGTGGCCATCACACATCCCTGGCATTTATGTGGCTTCAGGGAACCCAAACTCCAGTCCTCATGTTTGCAAAGCAAGTATTTTACCTACAGGCCATCTCCCCAGCCTTTTTATTTATTTATTTTTTCCAGGCAGGATCTTACTGAATTGCCTGGGCTGGCCTTGAACTCATGATCCTCCTGTCTCTGCCATTAATGAATTATAGGCCTGTATCAGGCCTAGCTAAAACCAGAACATTTCAGTGGGATGTTATTCATGAATGTTGCAGAGTACCTGGTAAATTGAAGTAGGGTTGCTGTGGAATAATGCTTCTGTACACTGAATTATATTTTGCTATGATTCATTTAATGAACAAGTTGAGTGTCCAATAGCTGAACAGAAGAAAGTTAGGCAGAGAAAACCAAACTGAGAATGATGGGCTAGGGAAGGGTGGAGTGAGGGAAGTCGCCGGCGAGATGGAGAGCAAGTTGAACACACAAAATGGGATAGATGTAAAAGCCAAAAGGGCCTGGGCAGCACATAGATTAATAGAAATGGGTTTAGTTGTAAGAGCTAGTTAGTAACAAACCTGAGCTACTGGCCAAGCATTTATAATTATGAGTAAATCTCTATGTTGGTTATTTGGGAGCAGTCAGGACAGGAAAACTACCTACATAAGTTGAAATTGATGGAAAAGAAAACCAGGTCAGTTGTTATTTATCCAGTGCTATATCCATCTTATCTAATCTTCAAGTCATTCAAGGAATTGTCATTCTTATTTCACCAGTGAATGGTACTATTTAAACTTTCTTAATTTAAATGTTTGAGTAATTTTGTCTGCATAAATGTATGAGTACCATGTGCATGCCTAAAGCCAGCAAAGGCCAGAGGAAGATGTCGATCCCCTGGAGCTGGAGTTACAGGTGGGCAGGTGTTGGCATGTGAACGCCAGGTACTGAGCTCCAACCAAGAGCAGCAACTGCTCTGAACTGCTGAGCCATCTCTCCAGCCTCATGAATCAGTTTAAAACCCAAATCTATACAAAACCTTTCCTGTTGTACATACCAAACTAACCAATGCCCTTAGACAAAACAGACACTAATAGAGAAGAAACACATTTTTGGGGTAAAAGCAATATTTGCTAATTAAGTGATTAGTTTTTTAGCGGCCAATATGTCAAACATATAGGAGGCTTATACAGGTATTGCCTTGGCACAACAGCGATGAAGGCTTGGGCATGAGGAGTAGGGTAGCAGAGGCCTTTTTGGGGGAAAGACTATGCTTGAATAGGGGCCTTCTGGCAGGATGGGGCTAGCCAAAGGTTCAAAAGTCACAAAGCAGTGGTCTTCTGGGGCCCTGTGAGGACCTCCAGGGACCAATTGGCTTGAGTAATTAGTTACTCTTCTGCTTAGCTATGAAAGGTCTTTGATGCAAAGAGAGACCTTTGGGTCTTGTTTTGATTTGTTTTTGTTTTTCCTCAATGTAAGAAGTCACACTGAAGGCTGTTATAGAAGGAAGAAAATGTGTATTGGTTTGAGATTAACAGACGGATAGTGCTTACAGATGGTTAGTGATGGGAAGCAAGACTAGAGAGGATGGCCAAAGTCTGAACAGGATTTGGCAATGAGATAGCAGAATCAAAGGGCTATTAGGCGCACACGTCATCTTCTACCCCACTAAATACTAGAGAGCAGGTGGTTATGCTCTTGGCCAAGGTCCTGGGAAGATGACAGTTACCTACTTACTCTGTATTATTAGTGATATGTATACTGTGTGAATACTTTGCTTGTTAAAAATAGTTCCAGTGACTACCATTCCCCAACTCTCTTCAGTGTCAGCTGCTCATTAAAAAAAGACCTGTAGAGCATAAGCCAGCCCATGACTCAGGGCTAGCCTGGAGCATCTGGCCAGTTTCTTCCAGGGTGGTTCTGTAGGTAGAACTAATATGCCCAAGAGTTGAGCCTGTTCAAAGCTGAACCTGAGCAATATGGACCAGCCAACCTCCTGCCCCTAAACTCCCATGAGCCTTGCTTGGGATGGACTAGGTCTCCAGGGTGTCCAAGTATATTGCATTTCATGAGAATGACATTCCTCTCTCAATACAACTGCTAGAGGGACTGAAGCTCAGATGAGGCAATGGTCTCACTGTATCAGAGCATCTGAATAGATCCACCCTCACTAGGGGAGAGTATTACATGCTGTTAACTGAGTGTGAGGGTGGGACCACGGAGTGCTGTCAGATGTTTTTAAATCCTCTGCTACTGTTTTATTTGCTTCATCATTTCTCAGATGCTTTATGTACATTGATGCCCAAGCAGCAGATAATGAAAGTAAGTTACTCCACCTAGCCCTTTGATTCTTAAGACACACACGTAGAGTCAACAGAGGAACTTGACTTCTGAAAAGTCCTGCTCAAATGTCCTGGGCCATTATAGGTGACAAAGTTAAATACTCCCAAGAGATTAATCGAATTCTATAAACATGGCAGAGCTATAATTAACCAACTCATTACAAGGGGTGGGTGTTTACCCATCTGGTGTCAACTGTAATCAGCTGAGGTCTCCTCCATGCATTGCTGTCATTACTGCAAGAGGTTGATTTTGTTGGAACAGACAGCTCTCAGCTGGGAAAGGAATTGTGTTTCAGGTTCGCTTCGAAATTGTCTGAGATTTAGAATACGCATCCCAACTTCCCTTGTTGGCCTGTTTCACCCAGGGATACTATTAGAGGCTTTTTCTTTGTGCATTAGTATCCACCTGCTAAGGAAGGCAGGTGGAGGGACTCCCAAGCAGATGGGAGGATGACGGCAGGCCCTGCAAGGTAAGAGTGAAATCTCAGGTTTTATTTCTTAGTTCCTCCATACTCAATATATTAAATAGCATCAGGTGAGCCAGGCTGGATGAAGTGCTTCAAACCCTGTCAATCGTGGAGTTGAAGACTGTTCCCTCTTCCCCATCCTTACCCCAGCAACCTGCCCGCCAAGTTCAGAGCAGCGCTTGAAGATCTGGCATCATGGAAAAATGGTTTAGAAAATATTACCTTCTGATCCACAGAGGTGAAAGGAAGGGTTTGGAGCTGCCCAGGGTCTTAGGATTCTATCCCTAAATTGTCTCTGGGTGGGAGAAGCTTTTTAGAAAAACTAAGGAACTTGTGTGAAGGCTTTTCGATATCGAAGCATCAATATGAACAGGTGGGATGATTAATTTTTCAATTTAACTGGATGAATAAAAGCCCTGGGCACTGGTGAGACACACCCTTTGATGTACCTTCAAGGACTTTCCCAGAGACGGTTAGCTGAAGGAGGGAGAGACATACCTTGAATGCAGGTGACATCATCCTGTGGACCCAGTCCAAGAATGAGTGAGAAGCACTCACACTCACCCATTCACTGCAAATGCCTGTCTAGAGAATCAAGGGCTTCCCCACCTGTCAGAAGGAAACAAGCGTCCCTAAGCTGCAACAGGCAGGACCTGGTCCCACTGTCATTCGGGTCAGGGTGGATTGTCTCCCCAGAGTCATGAGTCCAAAAAAAAAAACCTCTCCCAAGTTGTTCATGTCACACCCTGCCACAGCAGTGAGGAAAGAAATGAACACAATGGGTAAGAATCGGTAAGTGCAGTAGGAGGCTTCAATAGGCAGCCAAACTGATACTCTGTGTTTCTAAAGACTAAAGCTGCAATAATGTGCATTATTTCCCATCAGCTCCAACCAAAGTGCATCTTTTCCTCCACGATGGAGTGATGAAGGCTGGCTCTCCCGTCTAACCTTAAATAACTTTAAAAATATGTGCAAACTATGTTTTTGATATTTCACGATTGGCTGTGGAGTAAACACCACAGAGATGGGAAGCAGGCACGGTTTTCATTAGTTCAGTACCTAGAGAGCTTCCAGGCCACAACAGGGGGATGGCACCCAGTAGAGCCAGGGTCCTCTTGCATGGGAAAGGGAAGGTGAGAAATGGCCAGCACTAACAAGGCTGAATATTGAGAGGAGAAGACAGA